TTGATTACAAGACAAAGGATTGCAGTTTTCATGGCAGAGGCTGGCAGCGACCATCCCTTCATGGTGTTCGGAGCAGAGGCTATGCCGTGTACATGTGCTAACCAAACTGTACCTGTGCGACGACATATGGGAGGAGTGCACAGTCTCCATCCCCTGGAGAGGTCCCTTCACTGTTCGTGGTAGAATCTGTCCGATCCACACAGGGAGCGGATGCTGCCTGACCATGATCAGGGGAAGGAGGTTCAATCATATTCCTCTGTGGGGGCTGTAGTGCCTGTCTCTTATACACATCTAGATGTGTATAAGAGACAGGCACAAGACAAAGGATTGCAGTTTTCATGGCAGAGGCTGGCAGCGACCATCCCTTCATGGTGTTCGTCTCTTATACACATCTAGATGTGTATAAGAGACAGTAGCTAGGCCCTGTTGGTCTCTGCATGTGATTCTCAGGGCTTGGCTGCACTACTCACCAAATGTGTTACGGACTCAGCCAGGGCTCGATCCCTGGTCCGCGGGTTATCACCCGCCGGGCTGCTTTTTTTTTTTTTTTTTTTTGTGATGTGCCCATCACGTGCACACGCATGCATGTGTGTGCGCTCTGCGCCGCACGTGCCGCGACCCCGCGCACGGCATGCGCCGCAAGTATGGTCCAAACAGAGCAATTGAAGGTGGTGTAACAAGTAAGAATGATGGTCGATCTGGTGTTCACATTTGCCATTTTCCCACTCTCTGTGCCTTGTGTGATATTTTCTAGTGGTTCGTGGAGAGGAACTGATCGAATCGGTGAAGACGATTGACGGCGCCAGCTTCTTATCTTCACCAGATGGCGTTGCTTTGATCTGCTTTACTTCAGGTACACTGCTCATCTTCTTTTGTGTTTTAACTTTTAACTCTTGAGACATTTGGTCTCTCTCTGTTGCAGCATGTAGTCACACTTAGGCTAATTTACTTCTTTAGTTTCTACTCATTAAACCAGACTTACTCATACTTCAACCCGATCTCAAGCACTGTGTAATTGCATG